TGACGTCACTCTTAGTAACGAACTCATGACAGAGCTGATCGGGCAGTGGAGAGTGTCATCGGAACCCTCCATGTCGAATCACCGCATCATAAAATTCGCACTAGGGGTAGAGGTTAGGCAACTCCCTCCCAGGCGTATCCCCAAAAACACGGACTGGGCCACCTTTAGGGATACGCTTGAAATAAATATCAATGGGAGGGGGCAGCTGGACAGCAGTGCCACTGCTTCTGGACTGGAGAGCAGATTGTCTGCGCTAAATCAGTCCATTATAGAAGCATACAACAGTAGCTGCCCCCTAAAGACGGCCACCAAGAACCGCAGTTGTCCCTGGTGGTCAAGTAGGCTCTCAGACCTAAGGAAAACGGTACGCAAGCTATTTAACAGGGCTAAGCGTACCGGAGACTGAGAGAACTATAGGTTCAGCCTAACTGCTTACAACAAGGAGATCGGTCAGCAAAGCAGAAGAGCTTCAGAAAGTTCTGTGAAAGCGTCTTCTCAACGCCAGAGGCTGCATAAGGCTCTGGCTTGGGGGAAGACCGACACAGTTCTAGCAATTAAAAGACCAGATGGGACCTATACGTCCAGCGCGGAGGAAAGAGCCACGGCCCTTCTACGTGCGCATTTCCCCGAAACAATTCGAGAAGACCTAATTCGACCCAGAGCGAACGAAAGCCAACTCGCTTAGATTGGACAGCCGCAAAACAGCTCTTCACTGCGGACTCCATTAAGTGGGCTGTGGCCCCCTTCGAAAAATATAAGTCTCCGGGTGCGGATGGCATCCTTCCAGCTTTTATGCAACAGGGGGGCAGGTCCTACTGCCCCACCTTATTCGGCTGATTAGGGATAGCCTGGCGCTGGCGTATACTATATCTCAGAACCTTGCCGCACTGCAAAGGTGATCTTCATACCCAAGGTAGGAAGGAAAGACTATTCGTTGGCAAACTCCTTTAGACCAATAAGTCTAACTTCCTTCCTACTGAAAAGCATGGAAAAGATCATAGATCACGAAATAAGATCGAAGGTGCTGAAAGCTGCACCGCTACACGCTTACAGAGCAGGCAGATCAACCAATACTGCTCTGTATTAGCTGACCTCAGAGATCCGAGGTTTGTTAGACGAGGGTGAGGTGCTGTTATGCGCCTTCCTTGACATCGAAGGTGCTTTTGGCAATACGTCACACAAGAGCGTGTCAAAAGCACTAGATAAAAGGGGTGTGGCGATGCCGGTGCGCAGATGGATTAAAGCAGTACTGTGCACCAGGATTGCCGAAACCACAGTAGGCGACACTAAGATTCTTCTTGGCACAACAAAAGGCTGTCCACAGGGTGGAGTGCTATCCCACCACTACTTTGGAGCAAAGTTGTTGACGATCTTCTCGAGCTGCTAACTAGCAACGAAATCCGCTGTCAGGGATATGCGGACGATATTGTTATATTAGCTAGGGACACTCTCTGCGATATTGTACAAAGGGGATTAAGGCTGGCAAAGGAATGGTATAGTGGGGTTGGCCTAAACATCAACCCCTCCAAAACTACAATCATACCGTTTACCAGACGCAGGTTGCTGCCAGGCCTCAGAAACCTATCCCTAGGTGGAACGGAGCTGGAGATGGCCAGCACGGTTAAGTACCTGGGCCTCACGCTGGACTCCACTCTACGGTGGAAGCAGCATGTGGACCTAACCGTAGCCAAAGCTACGAAAGCGTTCATGATGTGCAATCGACTTGCTGGGAAATCATGGGGCTGCAACCCAAGGATTATCAGATGGTTGTACACCATGATCGAGGCTGCAACGACTTGCCTGTATCTGCGCGTCGGGCGCGATGCGTACGTGTCCGACTGCAGCACTGGAAGTAATGCTGGAGCTAACACCGTTACATATAGTGATCGAGCAGACGGCCAAACAGACCTTGCTTCAAATGTCAGCAGAAGGGTTTGGCAAAGGGAAGGTAATCTCGTCCCAACAGATGAAGGCCCTAAGTGACGCAATGCCACTGGACCTTCTTCCAAGGGACAGCATTACCAAAACAGTAAGCTTCAATAGGAAGTTCAGGGTTACCCTTGGCAGTAAGGCAGAATGGAACGATTCCACGCTGGACTAGTAGTAGGAACAGCACTATCAAGTGCTACACCGACGGCTCGAAAACGGAGGAGGGGATTGGCGCAGGGGTCGCAGGACCACGCACCAAGCTCTCCATTCCCATGGGAAGTTTTCCTAGCATATTCCAGGCGGAGGTATATGCTATAAGTCGGTGTGTAGAAATAAACCTCCAACGCGACTACCGCAATAAGAGCATCGCCATACTCAGCGATAGTCAGGCAGCACTTAAAGCGATCTCGGCTGAACAGCCTATCAAGTCTCAACAGAATGCACCTCATCTAGGTGCCTGGTCACAGGGGTATAGCAGGAAATGAACTTGCTGACGAGTTGACCCGCTCTGCAGCCTCTACAAACATGGTAGGACCAGAACCGTGCGTAGCGGTTGGTCCACATACCATTAAGGAGCTGGAGGAAAGAGCAGGCAGGGAGAGACACTGGCAACATCTCCAAGGCATGCGCTATACCAAGTTGCTAATGGGGGGTTATAACTTCAGACGGTTTAAAACCGTAATCAATCTCCCGAGGAACAAATTCTACACCGGACATTGCAGGCTTAACAAGCATTTATTTAACATGAGCTTGGTCTCCTTTGCAAACTGCCGGTTCTGCGACATGGAGTCGGAAACCCCAGAACACCTACTAATGGACTGCACAGCAGTCTGCAGACATAGAGTCAAGGCCATGGGATCCATGTTTCCAAACAGCCTCATTGGCACCTAGCAGTATATTGGAGTTCATCAATTTGCTAGGGCTAGATGAGTCGCTGTAACTTAGGGGAGGGCACAATAGACCATAGGTCGCGGTGCATACCTCAATCATTATCTAATCTAGTCTAATCTATAGCCTTCCGATCTATACAATTTCGTCGGTGATTGCATTATTGTCTTAAATAATAATTTATGTCAAATTTCGTGAAGATATTATGTCAAAAAAAAAGTTCCCCATACAAGTACTTTATTCCGATTGTTTAGTTTGTATAGCAGCTATATGCTATAGAAGATGCAAAATTTCAGATCAATAGCTTAAAATGAGAGTAAAAATTGATATATCATTATAAAACTTTGTATTCGTGTTCTTTGGCACAATGGGGAGATTGGACCATCACCTCCACGCCCATAAAACGCCATTATACGAAGACCTATAAAGTGCTATAATTAACTTTCACATAGAGATACAAAACAGTGAAACAAGAAATCGCATCTATAATTTGAAAATGTTTTAAGAGTGGATGTGATCCTGCACCTTATTACGTTTATTGTACGTATTTCATAAACCACTTGAGCTATATTAACGAAATTTGCTCAGGAAATTTATTTTCGGCATAACCGAGTTTGCAAATGGGTGAAATCAAATGTTAACTCCACCCACTCTATATATAACGGTTATGTTGAAAACTAATAAAAGTGTAATAACTTATTAAAAAAAATACTTGAGAAGCATTGAATTTTATTTAACTTTAAATAGAAGCTGGGGTGTAAATTGGTTAATGGACGTGGCACTGCCGACCTTTAGGGGAAATCCCTTATCTCAAGAATGGCTAGATCAATTTTAACCAAATGAGATACTTAACATAACATTATATTGGCATTCCTATATACGGACTCGAGGAAGACATGAAGCATCTTGGCTTAGACAACGAATTACCGACATGTCACATGCGCAGCAGGCCCAAGCTTACATGGAGCGGAAGCGCCAAAAGATGATGACGATGATCTGCGAATTATAACAATGAAACTTAGAGAATGTCTTTTCCTGGTGATAATGGTTACAATCGAAAAAGGTTAAAATAGTCCCCATATTTTATATTTACGAATTTCAAACTTCCGTATTGAAGCCGGTTGGCTTTATACCGTATATATCGATCAATATGTAAGATATCTTAACAAAATAAGTGAACGTATAATATAGAAATCGGTCCACGAATTACCATTATATATAGAATTAGCTACCATATACTTCATATAATAACTTTCGTTATTCTAGCAGACTCTATACCAAATATATCAGTCAATGTGTGAGATATTTTCCTAAAATTGCGTGGAAACAGATCCATATAATTAAGTAATGCTAAAAGTTAATGTAATCAGTTCAGACCTTCCGCTATCCTCAATTTACGCGTTATAGTGATTTTTTATCTGACTTTAAACCGTTTATGTTGCTCAAAATGTGTGACATTTAGCATATAGCTTTCTCTAAACCTCATATCCCTATTATAAAGATTTCCGAAAATGCAGTAATGAAACTAAGCCGGTCTTCGACCTATGCTATGCCTAAGTTAATCCGATACCAAATTTGATTATAATCCATTCGGTTTCTTAAAATGCAAATGCATGTTGAATTCTTATGCAACATATTTATGCCCTGAACAGGGTATATTAAGATAAGTTAACTTTTTTTTTTGTTTAAAATAAATGTATCTGAAAGCATTTCCTATGTTTTGATCTTTGTAAACTGTGAGAGTATAAAATGTTCAGTTTCACCCGAACTTAGCCCTTCCTTGCTACAGTTTATTGAAGAAAGTTATTTGTCATATATACTGCACTTAATAACTACCTAATGTATAAATGTATATATCTCACTATACTTTTTAGAGATTAATTAAAAGAAATATCTTATCTTTTGTTATAATATTTCTTCAAAAATAACGTGATAACAAGATATATTCTCTAATTAATTATATATACATATTTTTAATTGCTCACAATTTATAATTAAATACAATTTCCTTAAAAGTCGAAACCTACGAGGAAGTGTGTGTATAGCGTTTTTTTAAATATAGTGGTTATAATTTTCTAAAAGAAGAATTCGCGTTTACCATTCTTACAGAACATTCATAAAAAAAATATTAGTATTTATAAAAATATAAAATAAATGGTTTAAAGAGGATGGAAAATAATTACCGATTAAATAAGTTCCGTACGTTCTCTTCACTTTGTCCAATATATTTAGCCAACAGTTCGGGCCCCTTAACGGATATTGTGCGCAAATTCCATGAACTTGCAATTTTAGATACAAGGAACGTTTTACCAGTTCCAGGCGAACCATACAGTAAAACACCAGCCTGATTGCGAAGCGGAGAATTTTGGAAAATGTTTGGGAACTACAAATAAAAATAGTGGTTATAACAATTTATTGATTGTAGGGATACAACAAAAGGTTTTCAACTTACTCGTGATGGCCACATTAACACTTCCTCCAATACGGAAACAACTGGCTCTAAGCCCGGAACCTCTTCAACCGCCAACTCGTCGAAATTGTCATCATCATTAACCTTTTGATGGTTCTCAATACCTTGGAGGCAATAAGAATTCGTATTCTTCAACGAATCGATTAAGAGCTCATTTGTGAGAATAGGATGAGTTTTACCTGGTCACACACATATAAAATAGAAGTTCAATTATATATAAAATTAGTAAAAATATATCACAATACTGAATTAATTAACTTATTCTATATGCGTAAAATATAGCACGCTCAACCAACTGTACTAGATCTCCTTTGTTGTAGCCTTCAGTTAAGTTTGTAAATTTACACAAATCTAATTTCTCTGATTCGATGTGACTGCAAAGCTCTTGAAGTATCAATTTTCGTCCCTCATGTTCCAAACTAGGTAGTCTTGTTACATTTTGAAAAATATGGCGTCCGCGTGGCGAGAATAAACGTTTATTTAATGTTTGAAGCTCACTTACTGTCGCGATTACTGAAATGGGATTGTTACTAGTATATTGCACAATCAATTGATGTACAGTGTCAGCGATTCGGTTGTAATATTCGCCATCTTGTGTTGTTTGATCGCCTGCAGAATGAGCTAGTACATCGAGGTTTTCCAGCACGACTATGGAAGGTGCATTTTGCAAACAAGTGGTAAATATACTACGCAGGTCTTTTTGTATTGATTCAGCCTATAAGTGAGAAAATTTTACAAATTAACATTTTGTCCATTTAAAAATTCAAACCTTTCTTCCTTTACTCCTCGAACAGTAATATATATCGAAAAAACAAAAATAAGGCTTCTTCACCAACTCATCTAATATTCTCTCCACCACTACAGTTTTGCCCGTGCCAGATGCACCTGTAATAAGAATATTAAACTAGTTTTAATTAAATGAGTGTGTGCAAATTTACCTGCTATAAGAATATTCCCTTGTCTCAATATTGCATTCTTTGAATCCAAACACAAGTTCATTTTTAATTCATCCACCAAATTAATAACAATTTCATCAAATGCTGGCAGTTTTATTAAATCTTTAACACTTAACGGAGAATCCCCTTTGGGTTGTACTTCAAGCACCTCGTCAACTTTGCGAACCAAATCGGCAGCATAAATTTTTGACTCTTTCAAAAATTGCGAATCTATAACACAATAACGAAAATGTTCAGGCAAAATACCGACGGTCACAGTTAGATTCTCCTCTAAGCGTACAACTTCATCCTGATTTAAAAGCATTGGTGATTTATTGGTTTTCTCTATAATATAACGTTTAAAAGCATTTTCAATAATCTTATAATGCGTTTTCTTTTGTGCGTACAGTTCAATTTTCTCTACAAAATTTACCACGGCCGCCTTCTGCTTGAGTACTACTTTCTCCATTTCTTTTAAATTCAATTTGCGCATAAGATTCAAATTAACCTGAATACTAGTATGAGTGGTGTACTGTTCCTCATCGTCGGCCAACACACATACTTTTACATAATACTCCTGCTCACTGGGTGTTTTCATAGAGTAAACATTGTTCCATTCCAAAAAGTGAGGCCAATTACTCTTACTCAGATATACGTCAGAAATTTGGGATTTTTCCTTCCATTCACCGCTAATAGCGCGAAATTCCAAAGTATGTGTACTTTCTCGACGCAAATCCTTTTTCAAACGAATCATTTTATCATTGCGACTCGTTTTCGCTTTTGACTCTGAGCGAGATAACTTTTTAATATTATTAGTTGTTGTTGAACGTACCAAATGAGGATCGGAGTTGCCTTCAGTCAAGTTGGGAACCCGAGCGCTGGTGTGACTGCGATTCAATTGGCCTAGTGCATTTATGCTTGAGTCACTGGTGTTCGAGGAAACACCATTGCTGCTACCATTCGTAATATCCTTATACAGATTTGGTGCTATCACCAACTCTGTGTTGTGGTCAATACGGCCATACGAGACAATTGGCCGTAAACGATCTGTAAATTTTTCAAAAAGTTATTTCGAGACTCTCAATATAAATTTTTTTCGTTTTACTTACCTACTGTTAAGGCTACTTGCATTGATTTGTTTATCCATATTATAAGAATTTGTGTAGAATTTACAATGCGAATTTGTTCCAAGACACTATTTGAGATCTTTTCCCCGCTTAACTCCTAGTGAATAAAAAAAGTAGAAACCCATATATTACCATTTCGTTTACAGACCAAATAAATATGTATTTACAATTCATATTTTTTTTTTATTTTACGGAAATATTTCTGGGGTAAACTCAAAACAATCCCACTTTAATTGACAGTCATAATGAAAACGTAATCACAATAAATCTTTGAATTAATTTAATTTATGTGAAATCTTTACATTTTAAATTTCACATTTAATTGATTTTAATCCAAAATACAAATAAAATAAAACAACAATTACTAGTAAGATGTATCTATTTCAAAACAATTATTTAATTCACGTTTCAGCATATGCTCTAAAACTAACAAATCATTTAATCTTGCCAAATTTAAAATGCTTTAATAACAACAAATATGTAGATACATTTACCCACTCTAAAAGTACTATATAATTTTTTTTTTTTTCATTCATGAATTTTTGTTATAGCCTATTGCATTGTGGTCTATTATTTTATGTTGTCTTTTTTAATTTTTGTATTATAAATGATTTTCACTCACAATTATTTCCCAGTCCTTGGCCGACACCGGTGTAACAAAAACGCTTCTCAATGTCAATGCGTCAGCTATGAGTGAACACTTCACCAAATCATTTTCACTCAAACCTAGTGAATATAATGATCATAAAATTATATCATAATTATTAATAAAGATTTATATATTGTATTTATAGAATTGCGGGTTTAAAGATCTAAAAATAATTTATATATCGTTTTCATTATTTTTATATTAATCATATAAAAAGTAAATTGGAAGTATGTTAATAAGTTGTTTATAAATTTTAGAATTAATTACAATTGATATTTTAGTTTACTATAGTTTATTGAAAAAAAATAATATATTCTATTATTGTTACCAATCTTAAAATCTTCTTTAAATTGTACAAATTTAAATTTGGAATATATTCGCTAATCAAATAGGTATCTATTAGTTGCTGAAGTTGGGATACCAGAAGAATCAGACCTGATATTAAAATCAATGAGTAAAACTTCGTCACACCAGAATGATATTACCAATTTTTTAACTGCTTCACATTCCTTCTTTTAATTAATATGAAAAATCTCTTGGATTGTTTCGACAATAATTCCAAATAAACAAAATCAATAAACTCTGAACTATTATAGTGCAAGTACAAAATGATATCAGGAAGGTTACTTTCAGACCGCCCTAGTGTGTAGTGATCTTGTAAGATTGTACTTTGTTGGCAAAGTCTTCAATGATTATGAATGAGTATGTTTTAGTTGTTTTATATGATGGAGGTATAATGTGTAGTTAATGATAAATAAAATTTTCGGTATTCTTTTTGCGTTTAATTTATTACCGATTTCTTTTGCCACCCTGGCATTGATCCCAATTTCGGTATCTTTCACTGCGCCAGCATGTGGCGCCCACGATGCGTAGTGTGTGTGCCCGCTGTATTGCAAACTCAAACAACCAGTATCCTAAATTATATATGAAGATGTCGGCGATGTGCATGTAAAAGGGATATTTATTTATATCTCTTAACATAAATGATTATAAAAAAGCAAAAGTAATCTTATCTTTTAACTCACATATGTTGATACTACGTTGTAATAATTTTCAGGCAACAATAGAAAATTGCTTTTAATTGGACGAAAAACTAATTTAAATGTACGTTTAAACATATTTTTTTCTCGTGTACTTGTCCCGTATTAAAAATATCTGTTATTCTTCAAGCTTCTTGACACATTATCGCTTGTAAATTCGTTCTAATTGGTATTTAATATATGAATTACAGATTGCACAAACGAAAAAGATATCGCTATAAAATAAATACCATAATAAAATAAACACTAGTGTATATTAGTCTAGTGGATGAAATTTGAACTTTTGTACTTAGGAAATTGCATTCATCTTTGCCACATTCAACCCTGTCATAGAGTTGCCACGGGGCGTGATTTTAATATGTGATATAAGTTAAAATCAATAAGGCAAGTATTATTATATTTCTCCTTTTTTAAATTCATTAAGAAAAATATTATTATTTAATAACACTTTTACGTATCCCCAAAAAAGGAGGTATGTATTCTTTACTTGTATTGAGTTCTTGACAATCATAACATAATCGTTAGTTGGTATTGATACGTATGGCAAGACTTGTTATGATATAAAATTAGAAAAACAATATCAGCTGAAAGAAAGAGAGCTAAGACAAAAATCAGAGAATGTAGATTCCATTGTATAAAATATTATATATTAAAAAATTATACAGATTTATACAATGGTAGATTCTCTGCAAAAATGTTGTGATCGCTTAATTCATTATTCGAAATCTCGCGTTGCCAAGTGAAATTTTTTATATAAATATTATATAATTCAAAAATAATAGAATAATCATTCATTTCAGAAAATCCTGTTTTCTGGATTTTGCCGATAACGGATCAAAAAAGTAGCTTTGACATAGTTGGCTTAATTTTGAGTAAAATTGCCGTTATCCTTACTTAGTAGTTTAGATAAGACGCGTTTGCCTCTCTATATAGTGATCATCTTTGATGAGAAAAATATTCGTTTGGAATGAGCATTAACAACTACTTTTTCTAGAGAAGTCGCTTCTTGATTCGGATTACTTTTATATACATTTCACATTCAATTTCTTAATAAATCCTGTAAGCCGAACACTTGTAATCTTGCTTATGACAACAAAATCAACAATTGTTCGTTCAAAGCAGAGTTATGTATGTGTATATATATATATATATATATGTACATACACCCCTACTTGCATACAATTTGTAATTATATTAAAGCTTCCATTTTTATAAACAGTGTTATTGCAAATATACATGTATACATATACTTATGTATGTATATGATATGTAAATAATTCATTAGTTGACCTTGTGCATTTTAATTTTTCAAAGAACAAAAGCTGGAGATATTCACATGTAGACACCGTTTTAATTAAGAACCAATGTATAATAGTATTAAATGTTATTCAATACTACTTTTATATCAAGCTTATATTCTGAATTACTTCTTAATTTCTTTACTATCGGTTTTTATCAAACGTGTCTAATTATAGCATTATTAGCGAAGTAGTCTCGAAGTCCATTATAAATAACAAAGTCCATATATACACACTTACTTATCACTTTGGAAGTTTCATTGTATTTGAAACAAATTCATAGGAATAATTATAATTTCAATTGAACGTATAAAATCTATTTATTAAAGTACATCATACTTATCTAGTTATATGTATCTATGGTAATTATATAAAACGAATATTTAGTCAATATCGGTTTTCCACTTCTCACGCGCTTCAACTTTGGCGTCAGGTACAAGAGAGCTTTTTACTCCACCCAAGATGTTGGTTGTAGCCTGAGTGGCCAAAACTGCTGGACAAACAACTAATTGTGGTAACTGCCTCATCACAGCACCTACTGCCCCCGTATATCCCTTCTGGTCGTGCTCTGCAACGGCTGTTTCTATAAGTGTGGCGGCAGAATCATTAATTCCCTCCTTCACTATCAGGTACGCATTTGTCACACCTTCACGCATGTCTTTCGGTCTATGAGATCTTCTTTTTCTATCTCTACGATGTCTGCGAATTGTTCTTATAGATGGACCAGAGGACACCATGTCAAATGCTGTCTCAGCTGTAAATTGTAAAATCTGAATAACACGTGAAGTTATTTCTAGAGCAGCTAGCGCTGTTCTTGCTGTAAAACTTTGTGCACCCAGCTGTAGTCCGCGAATCAAACGTCCATCACGTTGATATTGTTCTATTGGCAAACGGAATAGATCAATTACACCTTGTATAAATTGCACGAAGGAATAAGTTGGCCCGACACCCTTCAAAATTTTTGGCAGTTGATTCCTCTTTATGTCTTTGAGCCACTCTCGACATAAGTATGCTACTAGTTTGTCTACCCCTAAGAAGCCACGACGGTAAATTATTTTCTTTAATTTAATTTCGGAGCATTGCAATTGTCCTAGGCCCATCAGAAGCCCTGCTACGGGACCCCTAGAAAGTTCCACTCGTCGACCGTGATAGTCGAAGCGTATAGATACGTCTGGACCAAAAATCACTTCACGAAAGTATATTGGAGATGACTTTTCCATCTCATCACTTTGTTTATCAGTTTTGTCGATTACCTCATTTTCTAGTAACTCAAGATTTGTCGATATGAGATTTCTCGCTTGCAAATCTTCATCATCTTCTGATAGCTCTACATCCATTATAGGTACGTGTGCTTCAGCCGGTTGATTATTGTCCGATGAGTTCGTCTCTTTCATTTTACTTCCAATATTTGTGAAATAATCTGCCAAGAAAATAAGTGTGTCTTGATCGATATTAAGACGCATTGGCAAAAGTGAAATCCTCAATGAGCACTCTTGTGCCGAACTAATTATTGGCTTTGGTCTAACATGCAAAGCCTTTACTACAAGCATTTGCTGTGGACATTTCAGTGATGTAGTTTTAGAATTAGGATTATACAAAAATTTATTTATTTCAGAAGATTTCAAACGATCTCTGATTTCGATGTCGTGTATGACCAGCACCTGTCGCGATGCTTGTGTTAGATGAATTGGATAAATTTCATGTGATAATCGTACTTTAGTCAATTGTATTTCTACCAGCACCTCATAATTTCGCTGCACACCTCCAATTGTTTTCCACGACAGGTCTTTTGATTTTTTAGCACCGCAAACACTATTGCTTCCTTTTGAGTATGATACACCATGTTTGTAGGCATCAGACATTCGAAAGTGGCCCGAATCATCTTTGGCACTAATATCACCTGTTGTCATTAGAAAATCTTGTCCACCATATAGATGCCATGTGAATGTCATCTCACAAAGTGTGTATCGCGATACAGGCATTGGAAAATCCTCCGGAGGTTTAAGTAAATCTAGCTTATTAGAGGGTAAGCAAAAGTGGTTGTCAACTATTCGTATAGGGTCTTCGCATATTTTTAGTTCACGTACTCCACATTGGGACACCTTTCGTTGTTCATCTTCGGATATAACGCAATATTCATCCTCACGCGGTTGCCGTCTATGCATACTGTATATACGTTCATTATTAATATCGCCCAAATCGGATTTAATCTGTGGTAACACATCTACATTTGGTTCTGCTGGACAATACGACGTAGACATAACGTGATGTTCAAAATTTACAATTGCAGACAAGTCATCTCCACAATCGTAATCGTCGTCCCATATACCCGGTTGTCGCTCATCTGGGAAATAGAATGGTTCAATGCCATGTGCAGCTATTTTTGGATTCTTTGATGTTGAGGGCACAGCATTCAAAGTGACTGTTTCTCTGAGCGCTTCTGCCATCAATATGTTTACTCGTTCTTGTTGCCATTCTTGCTGTTCAGTTAAACTATCCTTTCTCTTATGCTCATCCAAAGTAGGTGTTTCATTGGTATCTAATTTAGATTGCTGTAATGTTGTACATGAAATATTTTGTACAGGTTCAACGGTGTCCCCATCATTTGCTAGATGTTCGATAAGTTGGGCTAGTGCTTTTCCCGAATCGCTGCATGTTCGCAAATGTGCATCATGCACAGAACACCGCAAATCAAATTTCGGATATTTTTCTGAATTTTCATTTAGCCTTAGTGATATATCAACTAATCCGATATCAAGTACTGGCACCAAATACTTCGAATCCATTGGCACTTTGTTGATAGTCTTTTGGGTTGCTTTGTTATCTTTATTAGGTGCGATATATAAAACAAAATCTTCCACTATGAAACGCAAATTACAGCCTGCTACAGAAGAAATAACATTACTGCTTATTGTGAAAGCACCCAACTCGACAATGGCTCGATAATCGAAGTTTGTAGGCCGATAATCGATTATGCAGTTCCATAAATGCAACTGCATTTCTGTTATAATTCCAAATGGTACATACCCTTCTATAGGGTAATCGACCACATCAAGAAAATCTATAAGCTGATTTAGCCAAAACTGGTTTGTTATAAAGGGATGGTATCCCAATGTTGCCTGTTGAATACCGGTAGTCACCACAATTCGTTTTACTCTTTGGTCTGGTACACGTTTCGTTTCGATCACCAACGAAAGCATTTTTCTTTCTTTAATTTGTGGTGCATCAGACTTCAACAAACCTCTTGGAGTTTTATAGAAAGTTTTGTGCATTTTTTCCTCATTTTCAGTTGAAAACTTTGTAGAAATTTGATGCAATAGTCCACAATGATCCATTTTAATATCATCAATTTCAATGCATAGATAGCATAAATTTTTATTAGCATTGTACCCATTTACAGAAAATATGTTGAGCTCATTAACATTGATATCTATTTTGCCCAAATCTTTAGGCATAATTTGATTGTCTGTATCTCTTATTGGAACAAACAGTTCAACTAATCCGTTTCGTACTGAAACATTAATGGAAAATTGACTTTTTTTTATGTTAATCTCTTCTCTATAGGTATCTTCTGTGTTGTGCGAATCATGTGTCGAAAAATATATACTCTCAGTCATAGAGATACCTTTCAGATTTATATTCTGTTCCGCGAATGAGCAACTTTCTTCAGATTCAGATAAATCAAATTCATTAATTCGGCTATATTCAGGTTCGGACGAACTTGGTATATTGTATATACTTTGCTTGTTTTCGAGACAAATCTTGTTAATAGAATTCAAAATAGGTGAACTGGGTTCCCACATAAAAAGGTCCGTGTTGAAGCGGTTATAAATAACTTCGTAAAACTTCTTTGATTCTAGTACGATGTGTAAATTTGGTGCTGTCACTTCTACCTGTATCCTTGAGGTGCGCATTGTAGTCCTTCGGAATTCAGTTAACTCTGCCGTTTCACCTGGAAGCAATATAGTTTCTGACTCCATACTTTCGCTTTTATTATGTATAGTATCACTTTCTCTGCAAAAGCGTTTTGCACTAAATGGTAAACTATCTGTATTTGGTTTTATATTGTCATAAAAATTGCCAACTAAGAAATTATCTTTTATGCTCGTCCAATAATACTCATCTGGTATTGTGACAGAGATTTTCACATAATCAATCACCTCTGAGTTTTCTTTCTTTGAATTGGTTTTAAGTATCCAAACTTTATCGTCTCTTGCTTTATCAACATAATAAGCATTTAATTCGTTTGTTAATAGTTCAAATATTCCGCCCGCAAACTTCATGCAAACATAGTCAAGTGAAATAATCATATAATCAGGTCGGACATTTTTTTGCCACCATGGAACGCGATCTGGGTCGTGAATCGGTCTAGCATCATATATTGGAAAGCGTAAAATAAATTCCATAGCTGTCGATGTTAAATTTGTACTGACGGTTGATTTCGAAGATTCTTGCTTCAAGAATTGAGGAGCATATTTTGAAGAAAACGCAGCAAAAGGCGAAGGTGCCAAAAGGGCACTAAGACGATCATACATAGATATATCAAGTTCAATTCGGCAGTTTTGCATAGCGATATCTACACTTTTTGAATTAATATCCGATTTAACATGTACGGATACATCGGGTGTGTTGTGGTTTTCGGTTCGATCAAATATTATCAACTCAGACGGTTTTTCATTTAATACTTCATAAAGATCAATCTTTTGTGCAGCGAAATTTATTTTCGACAATATCAATTGTTTGATCCTGTGCTGACTTCCTTCGCAAACTATGGGTGATATAGAAATAAACATATGGTTTTTACCACACGTTAGTGTGACTGAATCGATTTTTTTATCATACAGTTGATGAAGATGATCAAAAAATTCTTTAGAGAAATCAATCATATTTTGTTCGCTTGTTTTGTTGAGAGGACTCTGATTATTGGACTCTGTTTCTACCAACACGTCTTCTAAAAGTATTATAGATACAAACGCTGATACTTTGACCGAATAACTTAAAATATCACCGGAGTACTCCAAACTTGATGTTTTACGTTGCCACTTCGACAAACCTGTTAATGTGGTGCTAGAGCTAATGGAGCTACTAGGTGGAGAATATCCTCTCGATAAGTCTTTTAACCGATCCAAGTTTATGCGAGGTAAAGGGTCTCCAACAGAAGGTCCTGTTTCACAATCAATCCAGTTACCCAATTCAACCGTTTCATTACTTTTTTGATATATATAATTATCATGGTAAGGCTTTTCTTCGTAATAATCGACTTCCTGTTTATCGCAAGTATCACTTTGAAAAGCATCTATTAGTTTTAAAATCAAGTGTATTTGTCTTGGAGTAATAAGAGTATAAATTGAACCGATTTCGATATCTATAATTATTTTAGGTCCATTTATATTTTCCGATTGTTTCATTTTAATTCGAAAATGTATTTCGTCTCTTATTTCCATAATAGGAATAGCGCATGATTGAGAATAATCTTTATTATTATCATATATTGAACTTTCACTCATTGTCTTCAACTCTTCAGTACTAAGAGTTAAACCACATATACTGATATTATGTTTCGCAAACATAGGCAACAGATATTTATTTTCGTCGGCTTCGCCCAAATTGTTGGATTGCAACCTAGGAGTGTTTTCGTAGCGTTGTTCATGCATACAACCGGTAACATTTTCGTATATTAGTTCATTTATATTAAAGCGCAAAGATATGGCTTTTGAACTATCTGATGAATGATATTCAAGTTGTATAAAAGTATTTTTAAATGTTGCTTTAATTCTGTTTAATATGTTGTCTATAGTTTCTGCAAACTTTTCGAGGCCAGGAATTGATTTTGCATCTATTTGATAGTTATCTTCACTATCGTCATCATGTTGCTTCATACATTCTTCTGCTAACTGCATAGAATTGCTCGCTGACGACCACATTGATTCTAACATGGACGTTCCATTCGTTTTCCTTTGAACAGGTCTTACCGAAATAACTACGTCTTCAACATCAATACAGCTGCTATTCGACATTAATGCGTTCCATGGGACAGTAACCGTGAGAACGCCAATATGGCCACTTATAATTTCTATCGCCCATCCTTGAGCTTCTAATATAGTATTTAACGCTGCAACATTTAATGAAACATTTTTCACGGTAGCTTTACCATTGTATAAATCTACTTTAAGTTGGTTCAAGTCTATTGTTTCTTCTATAAATTGTCCCAAATACCGCTGCAAAAGATATCTGCATGTTTTAGTTTTGATTCCAGTCCAAACGTTGAACCAAGACATCCTTCTCAATCAATTGCTCACAAATTTATATTTTTCACAGTGCTTTGTTTCTTTTTACTTTTGCGTCGAATAACTTCGTTTCAGTAAATATTTGCTTTACATATGTGACCAGTGTTACCCAATCAACGAAAATAGCATCACAACGTAAAATGCCTGCGTTTGATTTTATTGGTAATAAAGAAGGACGGAGTGGTGAATTATGTTTGCCGTTGACCCTACGTTTCAATTCTTATTAATCTACTCAAATCATTTCTAAGCTTTTAAAATAATAAAGTTTGCAGATCTAAACACACTTTTGGAATCCGTACTTGAGTATTTCCTTACAATTATGCATTTGCGATTTAGAATCTATTAAAACTTTTTTATTTAATACTGACAACGAAGAGGTCGGCAGCAGTACTGTAAATAATTGTGTCAATATAATATAAAACTAAATATTCTGTATACAACTCTGGAATGATATATGTATGTATTCAACATTAGAAATTTAATATAATTTACATTTATTTAAATCCGTTATTTTATAAATAGTTTCTCAAAGTTTAAAAATATTGTCGTATATAGAATAAACTCCACTTTATTGTACTAATCGGGCGTTGTAAGGGCATCACTGTTCATGAACGAAACCAGCTGAGATGCGAATCATGGGCTTAGCTAAAAGAACTAACATTTCATTTGTTTTGTTTCTCATTCGCATCTATATATTCACAGTGGTGCCAGATCGAAACAGAATGACGTCAGTAAATGCTTATCCACATACAACCTTCCTCGCTTTGCGTGACAATTCATACTGAAACAACGACGCGCAGAAAACAAAGGGGGTGGGGCGGTCCGCGGGACCAAAAGAAATCGTAACTTTGCCGAATATCATATCTTATTCGATTTATGTATAGTAACATGCAATAACTCTTTTTGCAAAGAGTGCGTTGTTTTTCAAATGAAATGCTTTTGTCATTTATTTTATTTATTAATCGGATGTAACCGAACATTTTATACTCTCGCAAAGTCAAATGGTATACTCGTTTGAGATTTCTTTGTGGATTGACTGATATTTTCGGTAGAAGGTCAACTATAGGCACTGGGGTCCACATATTTAGTACTTAGGGGCTTAAACAGTTTTGGTTCGATTTAGACAATTTTTGGCCGCAAGGTGGCATACTTTAAACGTATTATTCACGCAAAGTTTTACCCCGATATAATCATTGTTACCTGATTTTCATAGTGGAAAGTGAAAGAATCAGATGGAATTGAAAATGGTGTTACATGGGAAGTAAGCGTGGTTGTAGTCCGATTTCGCCCATTTTCGCACTATGACATAGAAACATGAAAAGAACGTTATGCACCGAATTTGGTTGAAATCGGTTAAGCAGATCTCAAGATATGGGTTTTCACCTAAAAGTGGGCTGTGCCACGCCCACTGTCTAATTTTGAACGCGGTTCCTATAAAGTCATCTTATACCATCTCAGAGATAAAATTTAATGTCTCTGGCGTGTTTAGTGCTTGATTTATCGCGCTTTTAGTAGTTTTTAACAGTACCGTTATATGGGGAGTGGGCGGAGTTGCCACCCGATTTCAACTATTTTCACACCGTCAATAGAAGTGCTAAAAACATTTGCTTCCAGTGAATTTTGTTATTATAGCATTAGCGGTTTAGGAGATATGCACATTAAACCTATTAGAGGCGGGACCACGCCCACTTTTTAAAAAAAAATTTTAACTGCAGATGCCCCTCCCTAATGTGATCCTGTGTACCAAATAACAGTCTTGTATCTTATTGCGGAGCTTAGTTATGGCAAGTTATTTGTTTTTGATTAATGGCGTTTTGTGGGCGTGGCAGTGGTCCGATTACGCCCATCTGCAATACCAACCGTCTCACGGTACCATGAAACATGTCTACCAAGTTTCATAAAGATATCTCAATTTTTACTCAAGTTAGAGCTTGCACGGACGGACGGACAGACGGACGGACGGACAGACGGACGGACGGACAGACAGTCACCCGGATTTCAACTCGTCTCTTCATCCTGATCATTTATATATATATAACCCTATATCTAACTCGATTAATTTTAGGTGATACAAACAACCGTTAGGTGAACAAAACTATTATACTCTGTGGCAACAGGTTGCGAGAGTATAAAAAGATATATAATCCAATTGTTACATGACAGGACAATGGCAGGTTTAGTACAAATTTACATACATATGTATGTATATATTGTTTCCACTGTGAAAAGAAGAAAAAAAATTGAATTGCGTACGTTGGGATCTATTAAAAAATTTAATTAATAACAAAAGCCCATGTAGTGGTTTTTATGATTATATATTTTCTTTTTATTAATTGTCACTGGGCATGAATGAGATCGTTGCGACATGTTCCTCTATTATCATTAATATTACCGGTGTGATAAATATTTTTTAACAAACTAGTTTTGCTACAACAGATGCAATCGAAATAGCACTAACCAAATTATTTTAAGTCATTTAGTTTTAAAATAATGCGAATAGTTTCCTGTAAAATAACGAAATCTCCACACTAGAATTGATTACCCTTTATGGTTTAAACAATTCATAATATTCACTATAAGGTACATCAAACAATTATACGTTGACGATAGTGGAAATAAATAAATTACAAGAATGTTTATTCATTATATTAAAATTAAATGTGCTTATATAAGTTTATATATGTAAATTAAGAGAATTAAAAAAAATATATTTAATCAGTATCTTATCTAAAAAGCACGTTATATTGCAATCGACCTAAGGCCATCATTTATTAAAAAATAAACATTTAAATTCTATTCTATTCTACTTACGTTGTGCATAAATTAATATCAAATATATTATATGTATATCGCATGAATGTTGTTGGGTATTTTTATTTTTAAGTTATTGTATATCCCTTTAACACTGTATAAAAATCTTAGATTCGTGTATTTACAATTAATTGCTACATCTGTGTTCCGTATTCGTATATTTAAAAGCAAATTTAGTATATTTTATGTAGTAAAGATACGTTCGTACATACATGTATTCGGTGTATGGTATGTTAATACCTAAAAAATCCCTTTTTGTAAATGTCATTGTAGAACTGTAAATGCGCAATATTTATTTTTAGATGAAATTTTGGAAATTTTCTTTTCACATGAGTACCGGCAAATTGCAAAATTTTCGTAAGATTACCATTGATTCGGTTTTGTCATATTTCATCATATTTACTTATTACATGCATATGTATGCATGTCTTTCTTCAGATGTACATATGTCATATTTGCACGAATTAATTTTATATAACTAAAAAAAAGCTTGTAGATACCTATTTTTAGGTTATTTAAAATATAATATTAGTAACAGTATGGTTTGCTATTATTCAAATATATTTTGGACAATAACTGTGTTTGCATTTTTAAAAAACTACGGGACGCATCGAACATCCGTGTACGTTAAGTCTTAGAGTGCTGTAATTATTTATAGCTGAACTGTGCACATGCTCGAACATACAATTTTATTGCGAGATTTGATTTGATATATTAACACATGTACTTTTACATACATACCACATATATTCTATTTATGTAAGCATTTAAAATTTTCTTTCAGGCGTATGTAAAACAAAAACTATAAAAAAATATCTATTTATATTCGATAAAAAATAACCTAATTTTGAAAAGATAATATACATATTTAGATGCTTAGATTTGTTTGATTTCATGCATAACAGGGATTTTGTTTTTAAGTGAATTAAAACTATAACGCAAAATAAGAAGAGGGTCCCAGCTTAGCGTTGTAGTCGTACATAACTAGGTACCTGCCAGCAGATTAACAATCGTGTGTTCTAAACTAGCTCCTCACCAGGTCGAAACCAAAATAGCAGGAACACATGTATACTTTACCACAAACATTTTAGGTTTGAGGTATTTGAACGTTGTTCCACATCTAACTATGTATACATATGTGTGTATAGATTTTGTATCCTTAGCATAGGACACTAAAGAAGAAATAGAATATTTCATTTTAAGGCTACCCACAAAACTCTGTACAATTTCATTGGTTGTTATACATATATAAAAATAATGAAACAACAGTAAACTGTGTGCGAAATGCCAGAGCATGACCTTCACAAAAATTATAATAATACAAATCTGAGGTTATTGACACAAAACACTAAAAGCTTTTCGCTACAGCAAGCCAAAGAAAAATAATAATAAAAATTTAATTGCTTTTGTATTTATTATATAATTTAAATATGAGAACATAAACACGTAGATACTTATTCGCAAAATTTTGTTTAAATGTTTATACATATGCGTTTGGGCAATAAAACAAATACATGTCTATATCTAAATATATTTCGCATGAAATAAGGGTTAATAATATTGTTACTTAAAATTTGCAATTAACTAAGCATGTGATCGGCTTTTAAAACGCAAAATCATTGGAATTTTTATGTCTTGCAAATAACATATTATATGTATATTATTTGCACGAATTGGTGGCGAAATAGTTCCCACTAGTATTTATTACGTTTAAATATACGTACTATAACTTAAAAACCATCCACATCACTAAGTATTAAGCTTAACCTTTTACAATCAACAATTTCAATCCACTTGAATGTATTAAATTTTTGCGATATATTTACAGATCATAGAAAATTAGTTAACAATAAAATATATACGAAAGTATATACAAATATTCAAAATACAAAAAAAAAAATACAAATAAAGACAATATAGTACAAAATTTTTGTGTATACAAAATTAAATAAAGATAAGAAATTCTTTAAAACGCAATTACATTATTTGTATTGCAGCAGTTCGAGATTATTAAAAATTCTTATAAATGCTCATTCAAATATTTATATTGTGCAGACCGTTGAATTTCTTTTATTCGAACATTTGATACAATAAAACAATGATGCAAATATTACTAAATTTTTGCAATTAATATAAAAATTTGGTAACATTGAAAAGGAATGTATTGCTAATGTTTTTCGATTACTATAATATATATTGTATATGTGTATGTAGTTATACATATCTATTTCTAAATTGTGCCAAATACAGATATGATCTATGTATTAAATATGTAAATTACTTATGTATTCGAGTATGGCGATTCTATGCCTACTTTTGTATATGTATTATTATAAATGTATCCAAAATCCTAGTTTTTTTCTGGCATTTTATGCTATTGTAGAAAATATAATATAATTTGTTGCTTAAAAAATATTAAATGTATATAATTTTACATGGCGTACATTATCTTATAATTTTTGTTTTTATTTCCATTTTTCTAGTTGTCGAATATTTTTTCGTCTTTCACTTCATACATCTAATTCCTCGAGAGTTCGTGATAAACGATTATTATCGATGCGCCTTCGTTGACTGCGTCGCACTGCATCGGCCCGCCGATAGGGTTCGCTCTTCAGCCCGAGCAGTATGTCCTCTAGAGCACCGTTATAGACCTCATCCTGATGCAGTAGTTTTTTCTCCCGAACAGAATTCGCTTTGCTCTTCAGCTCGTTAATGACAGCGTCCTGTAATGAGTAGCCACAACCGGGCATCTGTTATCAATTCAGTGCAATATGGTAAACATTTTGGATAAGCGGCGTATCACATTCAAACGAAAGCAGCAAAGAAAAGGAAAATAAACATCACCACAGTGAACCAGTAAGCGTATGATATTTAGGATGCATGAAAATAGGTGAAATGTTAAATAAAAATTTTGTTAGTTTGGACCGTCACCAGAAATACATAGTATATATAATACATATGTATGTACATTTCAACATTATTTAATATAAATTAAAGTCAATTGATACATTAAAGAAGCTTATTAAAATATATGTTGCATGACTCTGGAAATGTTTAGTATTTGAAATGTTATTCAAATTGACCGATTTGCTTAAGTTAGCATAATATAAAGGTATTTTGTGAAATGTTGTGAGCAATTAGTAATATTTATGTGTCTATATTATACTCTATATATGTGAATAGTTTTGGCTAATTTTAATCGTACCTTCCATATAACATTCGGAAAGCCTATAGCCAAATGCTTTTCTCTTTTTTTAAACAAATTAATCAGTATCATACATAGGAAATTACTCTTTATTTGTTGGTCATTCTTTTGTATCGATACATATCAATGGGCGCATGCATTTCAAATTATAAAACTTGTATTTGGCATATTTTAGCTTCTAATATTGACCACTACAACCTTCTGACTACCTCAAAAAATGGTAGCACGCTTTATTGCAGATCTTGTGAATTGCTAATGTAGTTGTACAAGTGTGTGCCTCTGAGCCGAGCCGAGTTTTAATTCCCGCTAAGAATGCCAGTATAGTTCTAAACTATTTTAGGAATATTTTGCAGTGTTGAAATAACAATTTTGAAACTTGAGTTGATAAAATAATTGCATTAAAATTAAATAAGAAACGCTTCAAATTTAGGTTCTTAATAATAATGCACCGTACGGCAGATAAGCGTCTAGATTAGAAATGAAGCCTTCACCTTTCGTTCTGAATCTCGTATTTCACCTTCGTGTGGTGCCACTGTTAACTCCGATTGGAGACCTCATACTCAACCCCAGTGAACGAAAGGGTGCTTTGGTCCTCCTAGAGGGTGTTGGGCACAAAGCTGCCAACCTGATACCACAAATAAGTCTATGTCGCGGATGTTGTAACTAAGACTCGGATAAATAACTCCTAACGACGGCGACCGGACAAATAAATAAAGCTATATATATGGAACGAACCTTATACCAAAACATGGTCCTAACACAACTAGTAGAAACAGTAGGACAGAACCAAGCAGACATCGTGGTCCAAGAAGGGAGATGTACTGGAAGCGCCATTATCCACAAGAGTAGATATAACATTTATACTTGTAGTTGCAATGCCAAACACCATATGTTTGGATTAGGTTTTGTAGTGTATGGTACAATTAAACAACGAGTTATGGGTTTCGCGAGTATAAGTTACTGAATGAGTGTAATACGAATACGCTAAAAGTTTTCTAATATTATAATTATTACTGTAGATGCGCCTATTGAAAATAGTACTCCGGAAGAAAGAGAGAAATTCTGTGACATTGGGCGATGTGCTTTATAAATGTCCGAAACACTAAGTAAAATTATTATTGAAGATATGAATGCAAATATTGGTAAGGTGGCAGTGTACAGAAACCTGGTTAGTTATACGACATTTCCAATGACAATGGTAAGGTTTGAAGAACAGCATAGCGAGAAGTTGATACGAAAAATAAAATAGACCATGTGACCACTTACTCATGGGTACGAAAATACCTGTCCGGATTTCCGTCTCTCCGGACTCTACAACATTCATAAACATAAAATAGAGAACATACCTTTTTCGAAACTCTACAAGCGAATTACAATTCAACAATTTCACGTCAATTCTACAAAAGCATCAACAGCGATCGGGTAGACTTTATTCCTAGACAGATGGGTCCACATTTCGACCAACTTCCTAACGGAAACAATCCAAATGAAAATCAGCAAATGGAGGTGGTGCCACAGTTAGTGAGTGAGCCCTTACTAGATGTAATGTACTATGTTTCTTTCGTCATATGTTTAATATGGTTCAACAGGCGTTGTAACTAGAAAGCATGTCACAGCAATGGGAAACCGCAAAAATATGCCCATTGATCAAAAAAGTAGACAAATTTAAATACGAAAACTATAGTTCAATGTCAATGGTAAATATTTAATACAAAATATTTTTCAATACAATACTGCAAGAACGATTACGCCTATATGTTAACTAAGTACGATTTAAAACTGGAAGAGGTACAACTAACGAGATATTTATAAGACAAATGCTTAAAAAACTCAACAAAATAATATCACTACATTCCACTTTTTTATTGGTTTTAAGGCGGGATACGATAGTATAAAAAGATCGCTTATCCATGAAACCTTGTATAAGTTTAGTATAATCAATAAATTAAAAATAATCATTAAACCCACATCGGCGAACGTAATGTGGTACGAATTGGAAAATCTATATTAAGTGAATTTATTTCAAAATCGGCCAATGACAAAGGGATGGGCTTTTATGTATACTTTTCAATCTTACGCGTTAAAAGATGATAACCAACTTAAATTTAGGCTAACGCTGACGATATAAACATCCTCCAGCAGTAGAGTCTTACAAAAAATGAAGAAAAAACTAAAGTATTAATATCCTCAACGACGAAATCAGTGTACCATAGTATCGGACAAAACCTAAGCGTAACTATGAGGTAGTTCACGAGTTTAAGTACATTCGAGAAAATATAAACAATGTGAACAACAAATCTGAGGAAATAAACCAAAGAACAATAGCCGCTAATAAATGCTGCTTCGCGCTAAGCAAACACCTATGTAAATTTTTACACCCTTTATAGATCAGTGAAAATTTCAATCTACCGCACACATACGCATACGCTCCTGCACTAACATATGCCAGCGAAAGAGCTGAAGAAAACAAGCTGCAAGTCTTTGAACGAAAGGTGTTGCGCAGAATTTTTGGAGCTATGATGATATTTTATATAACCACGAGCTACAAGCTATGAGGGGCCGGCCATATTATACGCGCTGAAGAAAACTATCCTCCGAAGCAAATTCTATTGGCCAGAATCAGAAATAGCAGAAGCAGAGCGAGACCAAAAGTTAGATGGATTGATGTACCAGGACGCTTAATCGCTGGAATCCCTTGAATTTAAAGTATTTTTAAGTACTTGTCAATGTGTTGGAGTTTAGCGAACTTTGAGTATTATTTGTTAGTTTTACATACAATTTGTTATGTTATAACTGAAATGTGTTTAGCTTTTAATAATATTTAAATGTTATTTTAAGGGTGAGTAGAAAGAATTCACAAATTCAAATTATTAAACAACATTAAATCAACAAAATGGAACACAAATCGTATAATGAACAAATAGACAAACAAATTAAGAACACACAAAAGGACAACGTAAACAAATATAAATATATATGGTACATGTATTTTGGAAAAATATTGCTAAACGTAAGTATAAATTTCTCTACGAAGCAACTGAAGTTTTGGTTTCTGATATAACTTACTCATTTTTTATCCTACAAATGGACGGCTAGGCCAGAAGTAATTAAATCAGGTCTTTAATTTTTGTTTTATGTGTTACCAAGTGCGACCTCCTTAGCGCTTATCAGGAAAAATGGTAATTGTGGTTGTGGTGGTAGTGGTGGTGGTTGTGATGATCCTAATGATCGTAGGAGCGATGCGATTTTAGTAATGGTTGTGGTGGTGATGATTATCGTGATGATGTTGGTAAATCTTAATAGACTTTAAGGCACTTCCTTCTTATTCTATTTGGCTAATTTTGAATTTATTTTCGAATTATGTAAACTAAGCAGTATTTTTTGTGATTATAATAATACACAGTATATGTATGTAAGTAAATTATGTTGTGCTATGAAATTGTGTAGATGTATGTATGTCGTTGTATAGTGGTATTAAGCTTATTTTATATCAGCATATTAATAAAGTTAGGCAACGGAAATACTGATATGTATTTATTAAAAATATAGGCATCAGAATATGAGTAAAATGTCTTATGCGATTCTTGTTACGCACGTATCCTCGACTTGGACTTTGCGTAATGAAATTTAGCTGCAAGAGCACACCAACACCAAACAATATACAATTTACGATTATTATTAAATTTTGACTTAAGCCAAACACCAGACAAAAACGCCACGTTACAAATTACAATAACATAACGACTACGACTATGCACAATTCATATCTTTTGCTTAACTGTACATTATTTTTTATTTTTCTATTCCTTTAATATTTCGATTTTTATATATCTGCGACAATTTGTGTTGTCTTTTCACGCAGAATTAATAAGCGCTTTGTGTAGTAAACTGCTTTCCATAGTCACGCAACCTAGTTTCTGTATATGGATGAATTAATGAAGAAAAAACAAAAAAACAATAACAACTGCAACCAACACTATTACCAACCAAATAATAAAATATGAAGCGTATTAGCCAAAAAAATTTAAAATCATTTCGAACTGTTAAGAAGTAGTTGATTCTAAAAGAAGAAAATAAGTAATTTTTCTGCTCATGCTCTTACCTGTTGTTTCTTCTGGTTCATTTTGTTACGCATTAACACTTGATCGCTTTCCTTTTTGTTGGCGGCCTGGGCTGCTGCTTGTTCTAGGCGGCGGCGTTGCTCGTTTTCTTGATCGTGAATCTAAGAACGATGATTTATTTAGCAAATAACAAATTAGCAAGTTAAATGTGTATTTTAGATCAATCATTTAGGGTGTTGTGGAATCCAAGAGAGATTTGCTTAGTTGTCGAAATTTCAAACCAATTCTGATTTTCAATGGTGTCACAGAATCTGATTGGATTTTCGTCTTTTCGAACATACGCAAAACCGATATCCGAATCAGCTGTTTACTAATGTGAAAAAAACTTGCAACTTAATAAATTTGAAAAAAATTCTATTGAAGTTTACAGTGAGTTCCGTTAAAATCAAAGAAAAATATATTGAAGAGATCACAGTAATCCATTTGATACACCAGGGGAATCGTATGTGAAATTTAGCTTGCTATTACTTGTATGCTTGTAAGTATTTATTTAGATGTTTACTTTACATACTTGTATTTATATCACATTAACGACTGAATAAAGTCGCATTCAATATGCTGTTACATTACATTTATTACGTTTGGTAAATCATCTTAAAATATCTGGATCTTTTTCCACAAACGCTATAATTATGGCAGTTTTATTCTTATGTTTTACCCTATAAAAATAAAAATAAGTTAATTCTAAACAATAAAATAAATTAATTTCTTAACTTACATTTCAAAAATGTTTGCGAGTATTTATTTGGTTTTTTTCTGATAACAAAACCAATAAAAATTGGTTTCCGTGATACCTAAAACCGATACAATTTCTGTTTCGAACATCCAACCAATTATATCTGAATTCATGACACCTACTACATTTTTTTCAGTCAGTTTCAATTTTGATTCCCACAACTATCAAATTTTACCACACCCGTGAAAATATTTTACACTAAAATAATATCGCACATCCAGTAAAACTAGACTAACGCTGTAAAATTACATTTTGTTATGTAGGCACTTCTTGAAATTAAAAGAAAGTTATAATGCTGCATTTAAGGAATTTGGATTTTCTAAGTCCACGCCCATTTCAAAACACGTTTATGCCTTTTATTTCCACTTTACTATTTTTGCTTTTAGCGCGGTACTCTCACTAGTGGCATTTTACACTGGACATTGCAGGTTCAAGAAACAGATTTTCAACATAGCTATAGCCTCATGTGCAAACTGCCGAATAGTAACGCAAAGTTATCATTTACATATGTTTTTACTTACCTTGAAAGCTCGAGTGAAACGCACAATTAGCGCAAAGAAAGCAGCTGCATCAGCGTTGCGAGAGGATTCACCGAAATACTCAACACATTCTTTGAATGCATCTTGAGCATTCTTCAACTCCATTTTGATCTTCTTCAATTTATCCTCAGAGTTATTGAGAAAATCGCGTAAAATATGCGTTTGTGTACCCTTTACACGCTGTTCTGCTTCTTTCTTTACCAGTTCCATGCCTTTTTCAAGGTCATGTACGTCTGTCACGATATTTTCCAGCGACACCTGTGACGCTTTATCAGTGCAATACAACTCTGTGTCGAAGTTCAGCAGATCGGGAAACTTTTGCCTGATGGTAGCCACAATATAGTGCAATAGCGATGAGCGTTTGTCAGTTGACTTTGTATCGATTAGGGTATCAAGTGACTGTAATTTGAATCCATAAGCAGGACCCCTTTTACTACTGTTGAGGTAATTGCCAAATGCTAGAACTATTTCCAACACAGCTTTGAATTTCATCGATTTCTTAAGCGAATTTGAAGCTGTTGTTATAGCTTGTATTTGCTGTAATCGAAATGAATTTGTATAAATATTTTGAATTCGTATTTTAAAACTCACTGGACTGATTAGATGAAGGCAGTCAAAGAAGTTCCCCATGTAATTCATTATTGAAAGCTTTGACGATATGCGTTCAACTCGTGATAATTGCAACATGAATTTGTCTTCTTCGGTGAGTAGGTTTTGGTCTTTACGCTCGGCTATATACTCCTTGTAAGATTTGACCTCAACATCAGTGGGCACCATCTTTTGAAGCAGTTCCACATTTTCAAGAGACAGTTTCTTCAAATCTAAACTATGTATGGCGGCTATTACCTCATCGATGGGCATATCCAATTTGCGTCGAGATATTGCTGATGAAAAAAATTCATAAATATGATATATTATGTACACATGTACAATTAACCAAGTAAGGAAGGGCTATGTTCGGATGTAACCGAACATTTTATACTCCCCTTTACGGTCCATTGGTACACTCGTTTGAGAAAACAAATATTAATTACTGACCGACATATTCGGCCTAAAACTGGTTAGAATAACAAAAGGCATTATAGTAGTATATGGAATTGAGGGTAGTATTAACCCGATTTTATCAATTTTTGTCAATACCACATACTACTAACATGCCACAGACTAATAAAATGCTCACCAATCATATGGAGTAAAGTCAGACGTCGAACATCCTCATATTAGTAACATGGGGGATAGATAAAATTTTCACCAGATTTGATCCATTTTAGACACAAAGATATTTTGTTATGAGTAAAACACGCTCTCTCATTTTCATTGAGATAACTCACATATTGGCCGATATATGCGGTATAAAGTCACCCGGAAGTTCAAAAATATTTATAGTAGGTATATGAGGGCTATAGGAAATATTGATTCGATTTAAGCCATTTTTGACACAAAAGTATACTATTATCGAGAGTTTCATTTATTTATTTTATTATATGAATTTCAATTATATATCTTACACATTTATCGATATTTTCGGTAAAAAGTCAACTATAGGTATTTGGGGCCACCTACTCAGTACCTAGGGGCTTGAACAGTTTTGGTTTGATTTAGAATTTTTGGTCACAACGTGGCATACTTTAAACGCATTCTTCACGCAAAGTTTTACCCCGAAACAATATTGTTGCTTGATTTGCATATTGGGAAGTGAAAGAATCAGATGGAATTTAAAATGGTGATATGGGAAATAGGCGTGGTTGTAATCCGATTTCGCTCATTACGCTCATCGCACTATAACATAGATATATGAGAAGAATGTTGAAATCGGTTCAGCAGACCTCAAGATATGGGGTTTCACCTAAAAATGGGCGGTGTCACGCCCACTATCTAATTTTGAACGCGGTTTCTGTAAAGTCATCTCACACCATCCCAGAGATAAAATTTAATGTCTCTGGCGTGTTTAGGGCTTGATTTATCACGCTTTTAGTAGTTTTTAACAGTATCGTTATATGGGGAGAGGGCGGGGTTGTCACCTGGTTTCACTCATTTTCACACTGTCGATAAAGATAAATACGCTTGCTCTCAGTAAATTTTGTTTTTGATTAATGCCGTTTTGTGGGCGTGGCTGTGGTCCGATTACGGCCATCTGCAATATCAACCGTCGGTACCAATAAATATGTGTACCAAGTTTCATAAAGATATCTCCATTTTTACTCAAGTTACAGCTTTCACTGAAGAACGGACGGATGTACACACAGTTACCCGGATTTCAACTCGTCTCTTAACCCTGATCATTGTTATATACATAACCCTTTATTTAACTCGATTAGTTTTAGGTGATACAAACAACCGTTAGGTGAACAAAACTATTAAACTTTGGAGCAACATGTTGCGAGAGTATAAAAAGAAACCAATGCCTTACCAATGTTTCGTAATCTCGTGTGCTCCAATAACGACACATTATCCGGTTTTTTAAAGCGCCTGCTGGGGTATGAGTGTAGACCATCCACTTCAGTGTTGCTACCATTTGTCAATGAGCCACCAATGCCAATTTTGAAGCGCTCCTCGAATTCGTTGAAATCAATGTGTTTAAAGATCTTTTCGTCATCCAACTCGTTGAAAATTGTTCCTCGAACCTGTGCAATGAAGATTGATTAAATATTAACTACTAAGAAATTACTTTCATTCTCAGCTCACTTGGTTTGGCTTTAAAGCTATCCAATTAAGGGTGGGTAGTTTGTATTTGGTCGGCACTTTACGTTTGATTGTCATGGCACCGTCTGGAGCGGGCATGAAACCGGCCACAGGTGGAGGTGGCGGTTGAAACGCACACATCATAGGTCCACCATTTGGACCAGAGCCGTATGGCGGTGAACGTGAACCTATCGAGCCGCCGTTTGTCGATATTGTAGGTGATAATGTACCCCCATTACTCACGGAACCGCCATGCGCAATGGGCGGAGGTGGTGGTGCAGGTGGTGCGGGTGGAGGTGGCGGTGGTGGCGCAGAACTGGCAGGTGACATGGCAGATGGCAGTGGTGGTGGCGGAGGTGGCAGTGAAGGCGACAAGCATTTATCTGGTGATGTTCCGCCATTTTGCAGGGACGTTTCACTATTCGAGCCAGAACGTGGCAATGAACGAGTCAACGTTGCTAATTCGAGGTTTTTGCTTTGGAGTAGAGATTCACGTTTCTTCAGTTCTTGTTCATTTTGCTTTAGTATACGACGCAACGTTGTGACCTCTTCGTCAAATTTCAGTTTTGTCGTCATTAAATCCTCTCTTTCTGCTTTCAATACAGCTACTTCTGTCTCGAGCTCAGCCAATTTATACATGAATTCTGAGTTACGATCCACTTCTCGTTCCAACTGATCTTCAAGCTCCTGCACACGTTCTAACGCTGCAGTCTTCGTTTCAGAATCCTCCATTAGTCCTGCCACGTCGAATACGTTGTCCAAGTAAGCCGAAATTTGCACCTTTAGCTCTTCTGATTCAGTCATACGTAGTTTTTCCAGATATTTGTCAAGCCCAAGAGCTGTAAATTCGTATTGCAGATGGACGCGATAATTCATATCTTCCACAGAGTGAACCACAATGTTCATGAACTGCATGCACGCTACCATAAAGTCAATGTTGAAGGCTTCAAAATTCATGAAGTATTGCATAAGTGTTTGAAAGCGTCGCTTTTCTTGACACACATCCTTGAAGTTGTCGAACGACGACAAAATTATCTCGTGGCCACCCTTCACCAGGCAAATGGCAGCTAAGAGCTCCAGCACTAGCGCTTTGGTACGCAGCGACTTGTGTATCAAACTCAGCGCAATACAATTAATGGCCTCACGATGTTGTATTACCATGTTAAATCCATATTTGTTGTTCATTATGGCGCGCAAGCACATTATACACACATGTATATCATCTGTAGATGCGCCCATATTCAATTTAGCTATATGTCTGGAGCGTCTTCTAATGCTGGGACTGTCAAGCACCTCGGCCAGCGAGGGACGCAAAAAACCATTAAGACTGCCGCCAGAGTGTCCCGCGTGTGAAGGTTGGTGATGCCGCGTACCATCCAAGTTGATGCTACCACTCAATGGTGAATTAACTCCCACCGATGAGCTGCAAAGGCCATCCGCTGAACCTGAACCGGTGCCACCTCCTCCCACTGTCTGACTACTTATCATATTCAGACGCTCATCTGAATCGGATAGTGCTTCTTCGACACGCTGTTCGTGTCGCATCATCTGCAATCGAAAACTTAGGTAATCGACAAGTGCGTCGAGACCCTGGTTTGTGTCGTCAAGAAACTCCTTTACCCACTCAATGTGGTTGGTGCGTAGCGAGATCTCGAGATCACGCAGCACCTGCGTCGATGTGGACTCACCGACCATTTTGCGTTTCTGACAAAGAAAGTAGAAGAAAAATAGCTGTAAGTGTACAAAATTGTCCCGGGCAGGAGGGGAGGGAGCATGGTCCAAGTGTGACAAGGGAAAATGGGTTGGGATCAGGAACATTGGGAGGTAATTCGTAATTAAAAATAATGATAATTACGAACACATACACAACAGCAGGAGTTTGTTAGGATATACAGGGTGTGACAGGTACATTTTTATATGTATTTTTGGGACAGGTGAGGTGTGCACAAAGCAAACCGAAAACAAAAACAAAATGGTATATTACGTGAACAAGTGAATGATGAAAATATAAGATGTGTGGGAATTGTTGATTTTGAAAAGTGTAGGAAATAAATCAGGTTGTAAGTTTTAAGAAACATGAAACGAAATTAAAAAAAATATATATCAAAAAATAAAGGCATAGTGTAAATGTGTAAATGTGTAAGTAGAGAAAACGAAAAGTTTGCATTAATTTTCAGTATTTTTAAGAGAAATTTGATTTGACTACACATAAAAATTAAAAAGTTTCGTTTACCCGCAAAGGTATAGATAGTAGCAGGTAAGTCGATTAGAGCCCAAGCCAAGATGCATTTATTACTCTTCAATACATACAGATCATACCCAAGCTACCACAAACTATAAAACAGACAAGGAAAGTAGTTCGAAGAATATTTTGATGTTATTTACTTTTTTAATAAGGGTATTCACATCGAACATGTTAATCTGGTAATTTGTTAGTGAACATGCTTTTTGCTCTATCTCAGTAGTGTGGTAAATTTTGTTCCGAAACAGCTGATTAAATTTTACTACAAACTTACTTTTGGAAAAATTTGTCTAAAATTATTTTGTTGCGAGCAGTAAATGTATTTATTTGCAATTAATCAAATGTACTTTTTAGGTAACGACGCAAAACAAACAGCAGATTTGATGTTACCAAATAACGAAAAAATTATCTGGTACTAGTACATATCACGTAAATAACTACCGAATGACGATTAACGATATAACAAAGCTGGTGTGAATACCTCTAATGTCTTTTAGTTATCTATTAATAGTCAATACAGCAAAACAAAAATGACTCTAAACAAATTAAGCTCAAGGTAAGTAACCCATTTAAAACATATTATTTATGTGCATAATGAATTTATATCAAATTTAAGGACAGTCAAAATTGTACTAATGAAAGCATTTGTCATGTAAAATTTATATTTGTGGCACCATTTTTCGTGCAAAATTCGCATACTACAGAAATTAACTCAAATTTGCACTTGCCAATTAAGTTGGTGCTTTATGCCACCACAATTGAAGCAAATAAGTTGTAATTTGAATAATTTTTCTCGACGTAGCGAAAAAACAGATCATCGATATTTTTATACTATTGCAACATGTTGGTAAGGGGTACGAGTTTTTTACTCGTATAATAGTTTTGTTCACCTAACGGTTGATTGTATCACCTAAGACTAATCGAGACAGATATAGGGTTGACATATATATACATGTGTATATAAATCAGCAGGATGACAAGACTAATTAAGTGGGCATAGCCCCGCCCCCTAAATGTACATATCTTTCAAAACTCTTAAGTTCTATCAACCAAACTTGGTGAAAAGATGTACTCTTAGCACTTCTTCAAACCCTATGAAAATGGGTAAATTCAGATAATAAGCACACTTACTCCCTATATAACGGCTATGTTGAAAACCACTAAAAGTGCCATAACTGACTGAATAAATGCGCCACAAGCATTAAATTTCACAACCATGATGGTAAAAATGGGCTTTATAGGAGCAGTTGTATAAAGTGGACAACAGGCAAGGCACCGCCCACCTTAGGTTAAATCTTATATCTCAGGAACTACTTGACCGATTTTAACCAAATTTGGTGTGTTAGGTTACGCAAATACCCTGAACATAGACTATACCCTGAATTGGACTACATACACTGAAAATAGATAGGATGACAACCCCGCCTACTCCCCATATAACAAACATTCAATTTCCATCTGATTCTTTCACTTTACAGTATACAAATCAAATCAATAAAGTTATCAGAATAAAACTTTGTGTGCAAATAGTGCTCATCGGGTCAAAACTTCTCTTAGTCCCCATATACCTAACATAAATATTTTCGAGCTTCCGGTTCACTTTATACCGCATCTATCGGACAATATATAAGAAATCCTAATGAAATTCAGAAAAAATCTCTTTCTAATAACAGTATATCCTCTTGCCATAAATAGATGAAATCAGGGGGATCAGGCTTTGATCCTTGCAAGTTGCAAGAGTATAAAATGTTCGGTTATACCCAAACTTAGCTGTTCCTTACTTGTTGTGTCAATTTAGTGACATTGAATTTGACATTGTCAAAACCGAGCAATATTCTGTAAATTACTAATAGTGTTATGGTAAACTCCACATACGCTGTTAGAGTATAATAGTTTAGTTCTCCCAACTGTTATTAATAACACCTGAAACTAATTTAAACAAACTCCATCCGTCCAAGTAATAATTAAAAAAGTATATTGACCAAATATCTCGATATCTTAATGAGACTTAGTACACGTGTTCCTGATGTTTAATTCATTGATCTAAAGTAGATAAACATATTCTTTAATAAATATTTGTATAAATATAATTAATTTGTTTAGTTTTTTATGTGAATATCGCTTTGTAACATCTTCCTAACTTTAACCGACATGCTGCATGATCTATTAATGTTTTCTAATATATGATCATCTCATTAAAAAAAGAGCATTTAGACTTTTGGTTTAGTTGAAGATATAAATTTCTCAATGAAGCAAACATACTGATTAACAATACTGATAATAATAGAAAAAAATTTTCGTCTTAAGGATTGTTAATTAAATATGTACTGTATAAATATTCCTAAAATACAAAATAAACTACGGAAAAAGGTTTTGGTGTGCATATATAACATTATGCTCTCTATATACTGAATTCTACGGACAAAAAAAAGATACCCAAAAGCCATTATAAAAATATAACTAATTGTAATAAAAATTTAAAAAGTGAAACAATAAATGCTATTAATCTACAAACTTGGGACAAATACTCTTTCAACCAACTGCAACTACAATACATTTACGATAGAAAACATTACAAATACTACGATTATGTACATACATATACTAGCTCTAAAACAAACTTACCCGATGACTGCGAGACGCCTTTGGGTCCAGATATGTGCGCAATTTATTCAAATAATGACAGGGCGGATCCTTTGCTTGCACCATATCCTAAAATTAACAAAACAAATTGAATATTAAAAAATATTCACTTCAATAGAAGACATTATTAATATTTAAGCTATTTTCTGGGTAAATGCTTCTTGTAAATGCCCTCAGATATTAAGATTATTTTTAAGGCCTCTCCTCTACTTAGCTTCAAAGATATTATTATTATAAGTATTTTTCTATATAACCTAAGCCTAATTCCAGTAGTATTAACATACACAATCTATTTGGTGAATGCTTTATGAAATTATAGCAACAACAATTTAGCATTAGATTGGTGGTTCGTTTCGAGAAACGTTTACTTTTACACTGTGAAAAACATTATTATATTAGTTCCTGAAGAAATACAGCATGCTTTAAAAAACGAATTTTACTTACTTCTTATGTATAAGCTGCTGAAAATATTCGCAAACTATAATGTTTTGACCTTGTTTTTTTTTCATGGCTCTAACAAACACTAAACTTTTAATTTAAAAAAAAAAACTTTAAACAAGTGTTATCCTACTAATACAACGAGTAAGTGATACTTAAATATTTCTTATCGAAGAATGGTTAGGTTCCTTGGTTCGCCTACGAAATTGTAACAACAGTGGTTCATTAAAACATTTTAAATACACGCGAAAAGTATAAATCATAAAACTATAATTAGTTGAAGGTTTATTGTTTTGATATCTCGTAGTTTAAATATATTAACAACAGACAACAATGATAATAAAACAAATAAAAAATGTATAAATCAGTATACACAATTGAAAACAAATCCTTATGTTATTATTCCTCATGTTCATTTGAATAAAAAGTTGAATTTATGAGAGTCCCATTGTACAATACTTCGAAAATAGTTTAGACTAAATATGTATACAAACATGTAATTATATTATCTATACCTATCTATGTATATATACACAAACATACTTACAAATTTTATCCGACGGATATACAATAAGGCAATAATTGTACTGCTGTATACCCACACAAAACGCAAAGCAAATGCAAAGTGCATGAAAAACACCATTTAGTATATTGAAAGATATGGTCCATTGTGCAGCGACAAAGAGGCGGCTATCAGAGCACTGGGTGCAATAAACTCTTTTCGCTTTTAAAGTTCTACTTTAAAATGGAAATTGATAAAGATAAGAAAATGGCACATTCAGTTCGCTTTTAATGCATTTATATGGGGACTCTTGTGCCGCTCATTATCGGCAATTCTCTTTTGGTGTCGCTCTGTACATTCACAAGAGCAACAAGTAAGGAAGGCCTAAGTTCGGATGTAACCGAACATTTTATGCTCTCGCAAAGTCAAATGGTATACTCGTTTGAGATTTCTTTGTGGATTGACTGATATTTTCGGTAGAAGGTCAACTATAGGCACTGGGGTCCACATAGTTAGTACTTAGGGGTTTGAACAGTTTTGGTTCGATTTAGACAATTTTTGGCCGCAAGGTGGCATACTTTAATTGCATTATTCACGCAAAGTTTTACCCCGATATAATCATTGTTACCTGATTTGCATAGTGGAAAGTGAAAGAATCAGATGGAATTGAAAATGGTGTTACATGGGAAGTAAGCGTGATTGTAGTCCGATTTCGCCCATTTTCGCACTATGACATAGAAACATGAAAAGAACGTTATGCACCGAATTTGGTTGAAATCGGTTGAGCAGATCTCAAGATATGGGTTTTCACCTAAAAGTGAGCTGTGCCACGCCCACTGACTAATTTTGAACGCGGTTCCTATAAAGCCAATTTATACCATCTAAGAGATAAGATTTAATGTCTCTGGCGTGTTTAGTGCTTGATTTATCGCGCTTTTAGTAGTTTTTAACAGTACCGTTATATGGGGAGTGGGCGGAGTTGCCACCCGATTTCAACTATTTTCACACCGTCAATAGAAGTGCTAAAAACATTTGCTTCTAGTGAATTTTGTTATTATAGCATTAGCGGTTTAGGAGATATGCACATTAAACCTATTAGAGGCGGGACCACGCCCACTTTTTAAAAAAAGTTTAAACTGCAGATGCCCCTCCCTAATGTGATCCTGTGTACCAAATAACAGTCTTGTATCTTATTGCGGAGCTTAGTTATGGCAAGTTATATGTTTTTGATTAATAGCGTTTTGTGGGCGTGGCAGTGGTCCGATTACGCCCATCTGCAATACCAACCGTCTCACGGTACCAAGAAACATGTCTACCAAGTTTCATAAAGATATCTCAATTTTTACTCAAGTTAGAGCTTGCACGGACGGACGGACAGACAGTCACCCGGATTTCAACTCGTCTCTTCATCCTGATCATTTATATATATATAACCCTATATCTAACTCGATTAGTTTTAGGTGATACAAACAACCGTTAGGTGAACAAAACTATTATACTCTGTAGCAACAGGTTGCGAGAGTATAAAAAGAGTCCAGCAACTCGGATCGAGTTTTTTGTCATTTCTTTTCATAAAACTTTCGCGAATGTTTGTGGGGTTCGGCTATGCGAAACTTAGAGAGTGTTGCATATTTTAAATGGATGATGGGATGGTGGTCTCACATTTTGCTTGCAAGGAATTACCATGAATGTGGCAGAACAATATGCATAATACTCGCTTAATTCAAAGAAATACTTAAGTTGGGAATTCCCTAATCCGTCAGAATGTATTGAATACCCGCTACTAATATTTTCAAGGCCAAATTTATTACAGGAATTTCCCAATTTTTCGGAAAATATTAAAAACCCATAATTTTTATGCTCCAAACTTTTTTTTTATTTTTTATAAAACCTTCTTAAATTAATTATAATTCTTATTTTAAATAAAGTGATATTTAGTTCGAAATCCTTTGCGATTAAGGGGGTATTCTAATCTAGACATTTCAAAAAATACACAAGAGGATTTTTCAAAATTTAAATTATTTTCGGAGATATTGCTGTAAGTATAAAATATCATTTCATGACTTGAACTGTGAAAAACGTTGAGCGAAAATTTAAACGTAGTTTTTCTCGAAACTGTATTTTTCGAGCCCATACCCTCGATTTCTCAGCTTCTACGGGACCAATTTACTTGAAATTTTGACAGAGTCTTCTTCTCTTCTGTATGAACTACGCTCATCCCCAATTTTTTTTCAAATAGTCGCCATTTTTTTGGCTTTTCCGTAGTTCATACAATTGCGACATCATTCTAGATTAATAATCACTTATTCTTTTTTTTTAGATTACTTGGAGGGCTAAAATCAGGGGTATGGTCACGTGACAAGTTTTTGAGACCCCCCACTTAATCACCTACTAGAATTTCAAATTTTGAACTTTTTTTAATTTTTAATTTTTTTCTGTATTCTTAAAACATTAATAAATAACTGATAAAAAAAAAGGATAGTAAAAATATTTATTGCTTTTTTTACGGCCTTTCAAAAATCACATAAAATTCATGCCTCTAGACTAGAATACCCTCTTAAAAGAACTAAATATGAAAGCATCTTACTACTTTATGTAAATGTAAAAAAGTAAAAGTAACTCCATTTTTATTAGAATTCATTCATTGTATATATTATTACTTTTAACATCGCTAAATGTTATTAAAAATATAAATAATTCACAATTTTTCAAAATATTTCTACAAGGTGCGTTCCAAAGTAAACAGGACTTTTAAAAAAAAGACAGAACAAATGGTTTTATCGGCAAAATCAATTAATTTTATTGAAATATTCTCCTTCTGCTTTAATACAGCTTTTTGCACGGTCCAAAAGCATGTCGGTCCACGGTCCAAAAGCAGTATCCCGGTGCAAGCCTTTTGAATGGCCTCCACGTCTCCATAACGCTTTCCTTTCATCGGCAAATGCCATATAATGTTGCACGGTGCCAAATCAGGTGAATACCACTCCCCGTATTGATTGTTAAAATGTGATTTTTGGTCAAATAATCGGCCACAAGCGTCGATCGATGAGACGGCGCTTTATCGTGCAACAAACGCCAGTTTCAAAACTCCAAGGTAGAATACCGCAAAACAAACAGCATTGTCTTCACTTTTGACTTCTCCAGGCGCGATTTTTTGGGTTTCGACTCATTTCTCATTTATGTCCCACTTTGAAAACGTTGAAACCACTCGTGCACTCTGCTACGGGATAGGCAATCATCGCCATAAACTTGTTTCATCAATTGAAACCTTTGTTCGAAGCTCATTTTCGCACCGATGACAAAAACATACTGACACTTAAAACGCAATAACTTCACTTCCAATAAATGAAATGTCATGAAATTTTTACTGGAAGTCGATAAAGGATAGCAGATTCTAACTCACTAGTCGACATATAGATGGCGCCACTAAAGTTTACTTTGTTACTTTTTTAGTGTTTACTTTGGAACGCACCTTGTATTATTCAAATTTCATAACATATCGTATATATTCATCAACCATGAAAAGAATTTCAAAATAAAAAGGAAGCAGCGTACTGTTACGAACAAGAACACAAAGCGTGCCACCCGAGCACGATCCCTTCGTCTTTCCTCGTCGTCTTCTCGCCCACAATTGGGTTATAAAAGAGTCCGTGTGTGAACTGGCACTTTCAAATCTGTTTTATGAACTTTTGCGGAAATTTAGAACACAACTTTTATCATATACAAGCATTTATTTACATATATTATATTATATATTATGTGATAAAATGTGTTATACAGTTAGTTACTTTGGTGAACAATGTTCGATAAAAACACGCTTTATCATAAAGTTATCACAATAATGTCCAAGTGGATTGATACGCAGTGATCATACATACATACAAATATTATTTATATAAGGACATAGAGACATTTTCGATATTTTCTATAATTCTATTCTATTATTATTTTTCTTACCCTGATGAGGGTGATTTGGAACACCCAGAAGAGCCCGTCGGAAACCTTTTAAAGTATATATATTTACATATATATCAATGATGAACGCGACGAGCTGAGTCGATTTAGTCATGTCCGTCTGTCTGTCCGTATGTTTCGAGCTAGTCTCTCAGTTTTTGAGATATCTAAATTT